CTATCGACCCGTTCGGTAGGTTCGTAAACCACTGGAGCGCAGGTCCTGTGAGACTTGAGCCAAATCRTTTACACATGCTAGCTTCCCTATACTCTCTTGCGATTGCAGTGGTAAACATTCGCTGTTTGTATTGTGCGATGTGATTATCAGGATCTGTTGTTCCGTCATACATCATCATCGAGGGAAACGTAAACCTCTTAGGCATCTCTACAAGAGCGATCTCGTCCGTAAACGGAGTATCCGCYTAACAGTTAGGTAAGCTTTTTGTTATCGGCGGTGCCACACCAGGAAGTCGCTTGATCATCGCTTCCATATATTCAAGACGTTTGATGATCAGGTGTGGATCTTTTGTTGGACGGGTTGGTGCTGCTTCAGTAGGGTGAAGCAGAGATTGGATGACTTGTGCCCTAACCTCATCTCTAACCACATCAGCGGCAGATGTCCCAGCTCCTGGAAGTCGCACCGTCCTTGCATCCGCAGCAGGTGTAGTCCCATCTAGCGACCGCATCGGATCGACATGTCTTTGGAACCGGTTTCGAGCTTCGAGCTCGCTGTCTCTGTCTGCAGCGAGTAGAGTCTCGTTCACAGACTTCAATGCAGCATTCTCCGCTTCGAGCAGCGCTGCTCGTTCCTCAGCCCGTTTCATCTGGGCGGTGAGTTCCGCCAATTGAGCAGCGGGAACTTTTGGGTGTTGTTACCTCCTGTGGGTATCACGTTGTCATCTCCGGTAGTCATGTCTCACGTAGTTAAATCTCACCCCTCTCTTTAGCGCCAATTGTTTCGGGGAAATTTAATCAGGTTCCCAGGTACACAGATCTACGGAATGATAGGGAGAAGTATAGCTTTATTAATCAACGAAGTAGGCTTATTACAACGTTTAGATGTTTTAAAGCGTTATAAGGATATTTGTTGGATGTGGAAAACAAGGCTAGATCTCTGGTTGCTATCGCTGGGATGCTATGAAGATGTAGCTCTTAAGTTTTCTCTGTGTATTTTTTGATGATCCTCCAGGTTCTTCCCCCTCCTCTATTTATAAGGATCCCGTTTTGATATCCTTRTTCGCGTGGATGTAGGAACCGACTTCGTGATTCTCTTAGAATCKGGAGTCTTTCATTGTAATCTCTTTGTAGATAGGTTTCCCCTATCCCGCAATAATCGCAGTAACCTATATCTGCAGTATACGCTTTATGCGGGCTCTGTTTATATCTGCATGAACCGTTAACTTTTGCAGTATGGGCTTCGCATTCATAATGGGTTTGACCCAAATGAATAAATTATTCCCAACAGTTCTAAATGTACAACTTTACCAATCAAACTTGAAATGTAAAAAATCATCTTTTTCACTTTGTATTATTTCTTTTATTTTTTTATTTGAAAAGATTTTTACATATTAACGCGATTTGTTTTTTTTTAGTTTTGGTAAATTCAAATAAGTTTGAAAGAACCAATAATCTTATACGTATTTGATTTACATAAAAAATGCTTATATATAATCTAAGAGTCATGTAAACTGAATTTTGTAAGATAAAATACATTTATGTATATGAGAGATATACTATATTTGATATTTGTTATTTTTAAATTTTTTTATTATAAAAATTCATGAAATTTTATTTTTCAAAAATTCTAATTCCGCGATTAACGCGGGTCAAAAATCTAGTATCTATGTAACATAAAACTCCTCTATAAAACTTTTAAGTTATTTGCAACGGTTGATGACAGAGAAAAGAAAATTTATTATGGGAAAACATATAAAGAAAATTTTATATATATATATGGACATGGTTTCATTAAATTCTAATATCTAATTTTCCAGAGCACATGTAAAGTCGAGGGATCGATAGCTCATTAATTAATCTATTCACACGTCGACTATAATTAGACCTATAAATACAATATGAATGATTGTAATCTTCTCCTGCAAATATAATAGTAGTAATATAATTACACAACTTTGTAATCAAACTTTCATTGTTCCAAAGACTTTTTATTTTATTTTCAGAATTCGGAAGATTTTTTTCATAATTGCTAACTTGTAATGAATGAATCATGCCTCTTTTTTCCATTCCTTGAATTCTAAGGAACCTCGATGCATTAGTTTTATTTTCTTTACGCTGTTCAATACTCCATAATCATGGTCTTTTTCGTACATCAATAATTGATCATTAGAGGATTTTATTTAAGTACGTATTACCAAGTCTCATGATCTTAAAGATATTTAGTGACTTGATTTTTTGTTGTTGTTGGTTTTACGTTTGTATAGACTGTTTTTCGTTATAAAAAATGTGGATATTGTATTTCACGAACACAAGTTCCCTTTAAAACAATTAAAGTTAGTATAAAATTTAAAAGGTAAAACATTTTGTGTTAGCTTTTTTTAACACTAAAATATTAACAATTATAAATTATGGTACTCCCTCCATTTTAAAATGTAAGTTGTTTTTGCTAAAAATGCGAATATTAAGAAACTATTTTCTTCTAAAAAGTATTATCTTACATATATAATAAAAATAATTTAACCAATGAAAAAAACGACTGCAAAATACTATTGGTCAAACAATAGTCAATAAAATTAAAAAAATACCTAGGATTATCAAAACAACTTATATTTTGGAACATAAAAAAACCTCCAAAATAATGTATATTTTGAAACGGAGGGAGTATTAATTATATAGAAAATCTACAACGGATAACTAAATTATCACAAAAAATAATAATTAATTTTGACATAAAGAACCACATGACCGGTTCTATTTGTACCACGATAAAAACTTATTATAAATTTTGCCTCCGTTAATTGCATAAATTAGTTTTGTCTGGATTTGAACTCTATATCTCATGGTGAAAAGCATAAGTGAATTTTTAATCAACAACTAGATCAAATGGGATTCCACAATATTTTATGTTAGTTTGACCTTTTTTATGAATATAATGAGTTCTCAATTATTATTTTTTCAGGTATTTATTGAAAAATAATTTTATTATATGTTATATAAATCTTTTTGAAAAGAAAATTCCATTTTTAAAGTTACTAAATTTTTTTAACAAAAAATAATCTATATATGATTAATTTTGACCATCGTCAAACTAAACAAAAAAAAAAACACAGTCACTTAAACTACAAAATTATGTCCCAAAATTCAAAAACTAAAAAAAAAATCTTCAAAATACCACACTTTGAAATTTTGTTTACAAAACTACCACCATTTTTTTAATTATCCAAAAATACCACAAAACAAAAATTGATTTTCAAAGGTTAATAATTTAAATATTTGAATTTGGGTTAAATAA